CCTAAAGCGAAGGCAGCGGAGCCTATCGGGAAATCCTTATCAACACCCGGCGCTGGGCTCGTTCAAGCTGGCAAAGTGAGTTGAGCGAGAAGTTCCTATCCGCCATGACCCCGGTTCCCATTGTCATTCGACAGCGGCCCTCACGGCCCTCACCTCTATCGTTAACTCCTCCTCGTTGCGCCTGTTGAAGTTGTAGTTGGCGACGCATACTGATGTAGTGTCGTTGAATGGGATGAGTAGCTGGGTGTCCAGACCCGGGAAGCTGGCGGCAAGCGAGAAATTCTGATAGTACTCAATCAGGCCCTGAACACAACAGCACACAGTCAACAACAAACAAGCCGTTGCCCGTGATGCCGAGACCTCAGGTCGGCAGAGCCATTAATGCCCCACTATCACTGCTGCGTCTCGGTGCAGCCCCTACTCAGTAGTTGTCACGTTGGTCCTAGTCTCAGTACCATTGTCTTTCATTATTATTTACGAGTTGGGTATGTGAACATCGTAAAAATAATAATAAAAAAGCAGAGTCCGGCATACATTGTACAACAGTGTAGGAGAGGCAAGGGTTAAATGCATGTCCATGCAGCCAACAGTGTGCTTCCAATGACCACCTAGATTATAGTGTAGCGCCAGGTTCATTTCCAGCAAGTACTATAGAGAGCTCTATGCCAAATCTGGTCATGTTCGTTCTGTTCCAGGCAGAAGAAAGAGTCCATGGGCAGGGTTAGAACCTAGCATCGACACCCGCGGCTTTCTTTCTGGAAGAGTTCTCTACTGTCTAGGTGACGGGAATCACACACACGCACACACAGCCCACTCCTACACACTACACATGCATACTAAGCTCCAAGCCCGAGGATGGAAGGTCAATGTCAGTAAGCATTGAAATGAAATGAAATCCGTGTTGCAGCAGCAGCAGCAGCAGCAGCAGCAGGAGGAGCATGACCATGCACATTTGCTACTGGAAGTGCTGTGCAGAAACCTTCAAAGCAGCCGGCTTTCATGACCACCACATGCCAGCAACAGGATCAAGTCAGCATTGAAGGAGTTTTTAAAGAGTCACATACCATCATGGACGGAAACGTCTTTGTTAAAGACAAGTAGTAGGCACCATCTCGCTGGTTAACCCGGATGTGCTTTGGCTGCTCGAATCTAAAACACACAATGAGTACACAGGGACAAACCGGGTGTTGTGTGAGAAATTGGGCATCAGGGTGAGAAGAGTAAGTTTCAACCGTGTGGTACACGCTAGGAGTTCATTAGCTCCGGACTTAGTATACAGTGTGCTCCTGTACTTAAAAAGGAGTCACGCGGGCGATGCAAGTTGCGAAAATCCACTGGACAAGCAGCAGTTTGACCTCAACCTGGCCAGGATAGTAGTCCGGAAAGGTAACTGCAAGGCTGCAAGAATAGTTAACAATACCCCCGTCAAAAATAATCGCGGTTCGCGTCAGACTCGGCTAGAGGCCAAGGTTTCGGCATCTGTAGGAACGCCACCACCCTTCAAGGATCATGGCGCAGAAGCAGCTTCTAAATCGGTGCGAGGTGAGTAGATAAGACACACCAGTAAAGTGATCAAAGACTGAACATCCCACTCACTGCATACCCAAAGATGCACTTCTAATCCACAACAATATATCTTACTTGATTGACAAAGCATAGTCGCCGGGATGAGCTTCGCTTTCTCGGATCAAGTACACGCCGTCGGCTGAGTGCAGCAAGTGCAGCTCTGCCTCCGCTCGCGACATCTTACCAACAAACCTACAGTCACAGAACAGAATCGAGGTGACGACATAGCTAGTTCAACAATGCGTGGAAGGCACACCAGATCGAAGATGATGCAAAGGTCACAAAGTATCAAGAGCTCTTTCCAAATCAATCACTGACAAATCGCGAAAGCACGCAAATAACGGAGCAGGTCAGAGCCCGTTGTGAGTGCTCGGCACAAGAAAGCACATAGATTACTCACTGGGCCTGGTGTAAATCTGGCTTTGGAAAATTTATTTTTCATTGCTATCAGGTTCGGTCTAATTTTCTCTGTGCTGCGCTGATGAGTCCACAAAGGACGAAACAGTTCTGTCCGCAGATTGAGTAGATTGCTACTCACCATGTATATCCCTGGAGGATACTTCGCCGCTGCGCCGGTGGCGGTGGACCTCGGTTGATCCTGATAAACATCACATAGTCAAAAGCAATGTAAGTCATCCGTTCAGACGGGAACACACCTAGCTGTCTCCAGACACGTGTCGTATTCGTACAACACTGCAGCACAGGAAATGTTACCAATAATAATGACACTGGAAGTACCAGAATACGTATGAGAAGTGCTAGTCTAAAAAAGCGCAGTACTAGTACCCGATTATTCAGCACAGCCATACAAATGCCTGGACACATTTGTTCACACGTACACGTGTGCACGCACGCACACACACACACACACACACACACACACACACACACACACACACACACACACACACACACACACACACACACACACACACACTTCCGCACGCATGTACTCGTGCTATTTACACACTTGCATACACATTCATTGGATATGTTGTTAGCATTGGAAGGTAATTTAATTACCTAGAAGATGCGCAATGCAGGTTTTGCACAAAACTACTAAATCTCACAGGGTACAACAGGAGAGAAACAGGGACTGCCAATGATTGAGAGTACGGAAAGAGATTAGAGCATGCACCGTAACACAACAGAGCTCGCAGCATGCACAGTATGATGCACCGTATGACACACAGTGTTACAGTATACTCACCGTGTTAAAAAAAATCACACTGATGATTCTTTGAAAAACTGTGCTGAAATACGACTGTACCAATGGCAGCTATTATACAAACGTCTCGTTGTTCAAAATCATAATCGAATTAGCACTCAAACCGGCGCAACATGATTTCTACTCCGGATTACCCTACCAGTAAGAGCATTAAGATTATGCGGGTATCCCCCCTCCCCAATCAATGCTCACGTCTCCTATACTATTTCAAGTGTCCAGTAGAAGTCCATGAGCAGTGTTGATCAAGATAGCAAATCACTTTTGGAAATCATGACAAATGACATGTCGAGGCTAATAGCAGTGCATGGTAGAATGGCACTATGCCTATGTCAGTATGTGCATTACTATGCTACATGTACATAGTCATTGATCCATTCTTCCTTTTCTTGCCTGTCTTCTTGCCATTTTGTCTTCCTCCAATATTCGCTACAGTTGCAGTACTATTATAGGCATTTACAGTAAAATGCAGAGTCATACTGTTTATGGTGAGTTATGTGACATCCATAGCTCGCAATCAATCTTGCTAGACTCAATAATCGTACATGTTTTCAATACTAATACAGTCAGACCTCGCTTAACCGCACACATCCGTTTTCCACAAAACTATCCGGATAGGCGAGGGAACCGGATAATCGAACACACATACTGTATGTATGCATGGCATATGCTGTAAATCGGTAACCAACGATTTTCTTCCGGATGGTGAGGGATCCGGATAAAAGAGGACCGGATAAGCGAGGTCTGACTGTACACATGTCCAATACTAGTACCGTCTCCAATACAGTGCAGTAGCACAGGTCAGGTACCCCCCCCCCCCTCGATTAAATACTTAGTGGCAATAATACAGTGAATACATGCATGCAATACGTACAATTAGAACGATGCTACCACCAGCAGGCTTTACTACAATCCAAACAAGGACCACTTCAGTCATGACTATCATTCTATTACCCGCGGCCTTGGAGACGAAAATACACCATGCAAGTTGCCTGGTGGCCACCATGCAAGTTGCCTGGTGGCCACACAGTCATTCATACATGTTATGATTAGCAAATCAAAAAAAGTTATCCGACTTGGTTTAGGATCATGCGTAGCAAAATCAGATGTTAGGTGGATGATTAGGATTAGCCACGATTATCGTTTCTAGTTTACTTAGATCAGCTGGAGGTTCAGTGTCGTGATTAGCTTCACAAGAGACGCGTCTCAACATCACCTAGGTACACAATTGCACGCGCACTCGCATACACACATGTATACACAGGGCCAACACGTACTCCTTCGCAACGGCCAACGCATATCCACCAGCAGCACATGTGCACACACAGACGTACGCATAGGCAAATCCGCAAAGAAACCCAAGGTCAGTACAGACGCGGACGGAGCACGACTTACGACGGTAGCCTGGTGATGGAGCTAGCAGGAGGAGGGCCAGCAGCCGCCAAACCAGAACCAGAGATAACCGTCTCTTCGTACGGAGCTGGCACATGCTATTGATGTGAAAACAAGGTTGAAGACATGATTGTATGCAATGCAGTGACAGCTTAGGACTATGAGCTAGCAGTTGATCTCGAGAGCTCAACACACAGTACAATAATTCTCTTTCTCAGTGATTGATATAAACACGTATCTCTCCCGAAACACTTGCTGCCGATGATACCACGGTCCAAGCAATAACGAAAAATTGCTGATTCAACTGCGTAGTATGACTCAGCTGCCACAGTGGACCAAGACTGAGTACATCCTTTGTAACTCAGGCATCACATGATCAGCTCATGTGCCCTGATCCAGACCGGGGCTGACTGCTTTGCGAGATCTCAGTGCCAGAGTCCGCTGAGCACAGTACCCTCACCACCACATAGTACCAGCACTCATTGCTTACACAGCCGGACAGCGTATACATGACCAGTGGTTCACGTCACAACACCACACAGTCAACTAAGCTAGCAGGACTCTGAGAGAGTTACCTAGCAGCACTTGGCAACATGTCATAGTTCAAATCTCCAGCGGAAAGTCAGACCTTTGGCATAACTATACTTACTGTTCTTCGGGGCACTGCTTCTTTGAGCTTGACATAGGACGAGGGAAACACGCCATGACCACCGCCCTTCAGCAAGGTGCCCTGGAGAGCAACAAAGACGCGGAATGGCAGAGGATACATGATAGAAACAACACACAGTTATTCCATCATTCCACTACACCACCTCGGCGATGACATCATGCAGTTAATCATCGCAGTCTAAAACGCAATACATGGGGATGCCACTATGCAACCTCGGTGATGATATCGTGCCTTTGATCCTCGCAGTCTCAAGTGTGGCCGACCATAGCCTAGACCTGAGGTTGCCCGGAACAGGACAGCAATCTGCACGGGCCCAAGTGTACAGCGTAGCATCGTCATGTGTATAGCAGTCTGGGCCTAAAACCCGTGTCATCATGTGCATGGAGGTCTTGGCCTAAAACCCATGCGCCGTGCATCGTACATACCTCCCACCACTCGCCACTGTTCGAAGTCACGTTGACGTCCTCGCCAATACCGAATCTCAATGGAACCTGTCCAGGCGGTGGTGCTGGATGACCGGTATACCTAAACCAAGACAAGGAAAGAAGAAGAAAAAAGCCGCTTGCAATAAACTGAGATCTTCATGCGCACATGTTGTGCACCGACCCCGCAGTTTAGATTTCATGCAGAAATGCATGCCTATTGTGTAGTAGTTCCCGGTTTTAAAAAAACGGGCACTACACAGTACGATGCTGGAGTGAGGGGCAGGGGGGGGGGGGGGGGATAACCTTGCAGGACAACTAACACACAGGTGCATCGCAGGAAACTACTCACCCCCGAATCGTTCGACACGCCAGAGCTGCAGCAAACAGACATGCAGAATAAAGAACAGCAAACGCGAGTAAGCAATTGAATAATGGACCATGCACTCCGCCTTACACAACTTAGAAGATGGACAATCATGTATATTGCAGCAAGCACGTGCCCTACTTCTAACAGGATGCAATTTCAGCCAAGTTAACATTCCCCGAGACCGAAAGGGACAGGCTAACTCCCAAACCCACAAACGCCAGCTTACTTCGAGATCCGCCGCTGCGATCCGGTCTTGGCGGCGGAGGACGAGGTGTGTCGGTGGGCATGGACATGGAAGCTGACGCCCGGCGGCTGGCACACGTACCCGACACGTCGGCAAGGCAAGTCTGATGTACCGTCATCTGCTGGCATAGGCTGCACTGGTAGCCCTGCAGGATGCGTCCCCTGCAGCACGGCCGCACAGTACACAGCACAATACACCATGAGACCGCGTTTCGGAGCTGCATCACAGTATGCCTTGGCGAGGGTGTGTGCAGCAAGGTAGTGCATACAGGAGGGTGTGCATGGGCAGCAAGATAGGGCACACAGGAGGGTGTAGGTAGCAAGACGGTGCACACATGAGGGTGTGAGCAGCAAGATGGTGCATACAGGAGGGTGCAGGCAGAAATCACGGTGCATACAGGAGGTGTGTGCAGTGGTTCGTACAGGAGGTGTGTGCAGCAAGGTGGTGAATACAGGAGGGTGTATTGACTACAAAAAAGGTGCTGGCTGTTCACAGTGCACTTGAACCCACCAGAGCAGTCGCTTGCACACTGAACAACGCGTTGTCATGTTGTCAGTGGTGAACTGCTCAAATCGGTGATTGCCTACACAAGGCCGAAGAGAACACCGCAAAGACAGCAGACCGGCTTCAATCAACACATTCATTGAACTCACTCCTCAGTAAGGAACTCTCCGGATTCAGCACCACACAAAGGATTGGCTTGAGCTTAACAACACTCTGGTAACGTTAGCTGAGGCCTTGTCACTACTGAATACAAAATGTTTGCAGTACACACTGAAAGGGAGCTACAGGATAATGCTGTTGGCTATCCTTGCAGAATCGTGACTAAACTGTGACTTCAAAACCAATCAAAGAAAGTCAGAAGAGAGCCCATCTCCGCCGCAGTACTTTATCGGTTGATTAGAAACTGGCTGCCTTCCTGATTATTATCAGAAATACAGAAACTCCAACCGGCTTGACTGAGGAGCAGGTCAAACTACTGCAAGGCAGATGAGTTAACCTTTTGAGCCCAGGCCCATTGAAAACCTCTGCCACGCAGTAAAAAATTTAAATTCGCTCTATGTGAGCAAACTTGATTTCAAACGATTCTTTCATGTATCCTGAGCACAGAACTGCAATGCTAAAACCAGTCAGCTTTTTCAATGATACATTTTAGCAGACAAGGTCTCAAGTCGAAACAGTGCAGTGAGTAATCATTCGTGATCCAAGGAGTACAAATTCATATTTTGCAAAGGCTGAAGCTTAGCGAAAACACTCCGTTCGCAGAAATTAGACAATCACAAAAAGTGCCGACGATGCCACAGCGGCACATTCAGCACCTAGCGGCAAGGGCAAGGTGGTGCACAACCAATGGAGACTCCTGCCAGTGGGGTCACATCATGACTGATGGCTGACTTACCTTTATCGGAGTGGGGCGGAGTAATGTTCATTCTGAGTCAGATAAGGAACACACGGATATGTAGCACACACACACACACACACACACACACACACACACACACACACACACATACACACACACACACATATATAATTATATATATGCACGTACAGACACACACACGCACACACACACGCACATGAGCAGACATGACAAGTATATTGCTCGGGTGATGCCATCAGCTGCAGTTGCAGGAATGCTGGTCTGGAATCTTCGGAATGATCATCGAAGATTGAAGAACACAAACAAAATGTCGTGTAGTCTATCCTCTGTAACTAGCGAGAGGGGGACGGAGTATAAATGGGGCACTAACAATAGCGGTGACCCACAGGAAACTATTCTAAGCCATTTTAAATCTTCCATTTGCAATACCGAAAATGGAGCAAACCCACATGATCCATTTTTCGGACATCTCTTGCAGCACTACATAAATACATAACATAATGGCTGGATCAGCCAAGCTGCTTGGAACTCACATGGCCTTCTGCACAAGCTGCAGCCACTCCTGTTTGTCCGGCAATGTCTTGGCAAAGATGACACAGTTGCCAGGCGCAGATGCGTTGCAGCCATGCAGCTGAAACCCGGATGTGAACTGCAGTTGAAAAACACAGTGCATGTGCAAGTAGCAAATAGTGCCAAATACCCAGTTACGGCAGTCATGCCCACAAGGGCTGTTGATTTTCACAAAGCAACACAATTCATAGGTGTAACCGATGCTAATGGACACATCTCTTACCTTAGCCTTGCCTGGAGGAGCAGGCATATCTTCCACTCGATAATCTTCAAGTTTCATAACCGTCTTCACGATGAACTTTTCATTCTTCGGTCGGCAGACCAAAAGAGCCCGGTCAAACAGAAACCCATACCTACACACGAAACACACATAAACACATATTGAAACCATACGTCACTAACCCCCCCTGTCCATCACAATCAGAAAGAAAGGGTAGAGATTAAAAAAAATTCTTTGTACGATAGTTTAGGAAATAGTGCACTAAATGCATCGCACGCCACCTCAGTAGCACACCAAGTGTGTTGTCAAGGGCAAACTATCATAATTATCGTATATTCTCTTCTATAAGCGCGGCAGGTCTCCATTACTAGTTCAGTCTCTAATATATGTACTAGCACTAGGTAGCAAACAATCCAGACACGGTGACATGGAAGAAACAAGCAACTAACCGAGGTTTGGCCGAGCTCTGCTTGGACTTGGCATCCTCGATCTGCTTCACCTTGATGTCCCCGTCGAAGAGAGACCGCCCGAAGTTGGCAATGTCCTCGCCCTGAGCACGATGCCGGGGCAAACACACAGAGTACATTCTAACGTGCAGCATGTTTAGATAAACTGGACAACGGTTAATTCAGACGCTGCTCGCACTGGCTTCTACATGCACTTACTCACTACCAGAAACTGGTCATGTGGGTCTCCGTGTCTGAGAGGAGAGAGGTTAACCCTTTGCCGGCAAGTGCATTTTGTATATGAAATCCATTAAACATTGAGAAGGATGCCAATAACTCACAACGAGGGCACATTTCGTATGTGCAAGTTATGTTTTCTTGGAAGTCTGGTACTACTTCTTGACCATGGAAAAATTTATTTTCACATACCACACACATACGCTGCTAAATTGGCACCGATACGTCTAAACACGGAAATTGTACATAGTGCAAATCGTCAGATTCCGACATTAACATGATACTGCCAAAATAAGTCGACTTCGGAGCGGAAACGAACGCCATAGCCATCAGAGACTTCAGTGGCCGTGCCTCGCTTGCAATTCAGAGCAGCATCGCCCCAGAATCGCTGTCCGATGGTTCCGTAAGGTCGTGCGCAAGTCGCGCTGCGCTGCCGTCACTCAGGTACGTAGAAAGTCGATGGCCTAAAATTCCGTCTCTGGGAGACTGTCGACACGGGGATCACTCTCGATGGCTTTCCCACCATAAGCACCATCAGATTCTTCCAGGTACATGACGACGACATCGTCTTCAGCGGCTGGAGCTCCCGATATTTGCGTGAGAATTTACTTGGCGTGCGCTCCGCTCCGCAATTTGAAATTCGCTTGCATCGGCGGCTGGAACGAAGTATTTATCTATCTGTCGTCGGTCCCAGAGCGAAGGTCTGCTAGGTCCTCATCGGAGAAGTCATCTGAGGACGAAAGGAATTCACTGCGCAAGAGGAAATGCATCTAACGACGTTTTGACGGAGGCAGACGGCATTGTCGGCGCGCATGTATTTCCGTAAGTTTTCAATCGCGCAGTTCTCAATGAAATCAAATGGGACATGCGTAGATCTCTTCAGCTACGGATAGGATCATACCTAGGCTGTGTGAGGGCCACGGGAAATCCCCGTGGGCTGATGCTTCCTGTCATACCAGGCATGGTTTTAGTATGCATGTCGAATGCGTCGTTTACGATGCATTCAAGTATGGGGCTGCCGGTAAAGGGTTAAAAACTTGTAAATACAGCCTTGAAAAGATAAATAAGTCGGCTATTAAACCACCTAACACCGCACCTCACCCCTCTCCCCCTCTGCTGAATCGCTCAGAATCTGGGTGGACTTGTACATGATCCCAATAGTGAAAGGCTCATCACAGCACAGAAAGCACGCAAGGCAAATGTCCAGAAGAAGGACTGATGGCACAAGGATATCCGGGCTTTCAACTGCAATCCGTGTTCAGACCATAAAGCTACGGAGCTACTGACAGCTGCATTGCGGCGGGAATACCCTCCACGGTTACAAAAAAAAAGACTACACATTCCACAAAGCCAATCTACAGGAAAAGAGTGCAGAGAATGAAAGTCGTTTTGGAGATAACATCATTACTAAGCTGCTTGGCTCTTACCTTGTACTCAACAAGACCATTCTTGACATCCTTGGTGATGCTCATTCGCTCCGAGTCACGTTTCACTTCGTTCACACACTTAGCGACATCCTGTGCGATGGTAGAGAAAGCATAAGGGTCAATGCATATAAAAGCAGATGACTAATAACCCGGACCAGGCGATCAGAATTTCAACGTGAAATGATCCAGTCATTGCATCAGCTCTTTGGCTAAGAATCTTCTTCCTTCAAACTGTGTACCATCTTCCTATGGAATAAGGATCTAGGCACTCTCCCGAAACAAGCCATAACTTGCCAGGAAGTTGTGCATCGCCATGATACAGTGCTGAAAGACGAAATCCCTCGCATGAATAACGCAGTGCCAGGGGGCGCTGCATGAACATAGCACTGCAAACAACGGAGGTTCGGCTGGCATTAGCAATCAGTCAGCCTTCTCTGCGGTGTCCATGAGGGATTCCTCACCATTTGCCAGCAAAACACACACAGTTGAAAGATATCTCTCGCCATGCCCCAACACTCGTAAAAGAGATGCAGGTGCGCCCTAAAATGCAAACAACAATAGCCAACATACCTGTATCCCTTCAGCTGCCATCTCGAGCTGCAAGACATCATGCCAGTCACACTTCTTGGCTTGCTTGATCAACTCCTGCGTGCACACACCCACATCCAAATACACAGACGCAGGCACACAGACAGACAGACAGACAGACACACACACACACACACACACACACAACGCAACACAATAATGGATGAAAGGGTTTTAAGGAACAGTACACTCTTACTGGCCCATTCGAATACACACACTACATGTACTGGGGAAATTCATACTACGCATCTTCCTGACGCTACAATGAATCATACTGTATGGGACTGCAACCATCATCGGTTGGCAGAGCCCTGGTCTTGCGATTATGATTGTAGTCAGGAGCACTGTTTTTAACACAGTGCGTCCTCCGCCTTGTAACATGCTGTCCACCGATCCACATGTTAATCTATCAAACAAGGCTCACACATACCAAGTACAGATGTGTACATGTGTTTGGGCTCATGAGTGTCACACTGGCGGCATGATCCTTTACACAATATTGGGCCCCAGACTCTCCTAGTACCGGCACAGCAGGCTCTCACCATGTCATCACCTACCCAGGAGGGGTGATAGTGTGTACATTATACAGTCGTGTACACATAGCACAAAGTAAAGGGCGATTACCAATACAACTTTCTGCGACGCGACACGCGATTTGCGACAGTCGCGGCAAGAAAATGCCTGTCGCGAGCTGTCGCAAGGCACCTGTCGCAGAAATTGAAGAAAGTTCAACTTTTGCGACATGCGACACGCGACATACACAAATGGAGTACAGTTTCGACCCTGGGTGCACGTGCAGTGCAAGTGCATAGTACTACTTGTGCATGAGGATATCGATCCAGGCCAGATGTAACATGTACGTCGCAACAAACATGAAGAATACTGTGAACCGCGTGTCGCTGTCACAGCTCGTCGCATGTGTCGCGAGTCGCATGTCGAGTCGCAAGAAGTTGTATTGTGAATCGGCCTTAAGGATAATGAAGACATGGTAAAGGGGACACACAAGTTAGCCATTCATCATGCATGTTCAGTGCTTACTCGGAGTAGCAGCGGGTACTTGAGGACACGCTGCATGGGCACGCTGAGCAACTCCTTCAGATAGAACTTCTGCTTGGAGCTCTTCTTGCAGTGCTAGTACACATGAAAGCACAATGGACATGTCACCACACAACGTATACCATGTAAAACTCGATAGCAGTGCAGCAGATCTGATCAAAAGCTACTTGTAGTGGTCGGCTCATGCAGTTCATTTTGGCTGCCCTGATTTGTTGATTGCAGCATCACTTGTACATCAGGACTTGAGTCGAAGGAGACACGTGCGGCAGTTAGGTCCCCCCCCCCCCCCCCCCCCCACTCGTGAATATTAGCCTGAAAGGAAAAATGACAGGCTAATTAATGCATTTACAAATGCAACCGAATTGTTGGGTATAGTTAACGCGCTACAGTTGATGAAAACTCACTTTCATCATGCAACTGGTACATAACGTGAACACCGGAGGCAACACATAACCAAGGTTCTCATTCCAGTGTTGTAAGAAACCAGCACAGAGGCACATTGCCAGCACACATGGACTGGGTGCACCGTGCCCTCACCGTGCCCTCAGGATGCAGTTCACAAGCTTCACAAGTGACAGGAAACTCAGGGTGCTCATGTCACGTACTGCACATGCACCAGTTAGGTTAAAAACTCAACTCTATGGTTATCACTGCCCTAGAGCAATAGATGAAGCATTGAGCATTCTTACTTCGAGCATTTGGTTGGTTGCGGGCTTGTCCATAAGCTCTTGAACCTGTCCAACGAGAAGCAATTTACACAAAAATAGAGAGCTCAGAGAAAAGCTGCATCACATTGATCTCTTGCAGGCCACATCAATGTAAAATCGAGCGGTCTGTCAAACAAACCAACAAAGAAAGGACCTCCTCCCACACATGTATTATAGAATAGCAGTATTAATTTATTCATTAGTTCGAGAGCCAGAGACCGTTTTGAGATTGTCGTGAGATGTATGGCTATAGTGGATGGTTACAATGCAGTCTTCGCATTTTGAGAAATGAATTTGAGAGAGCTGAGGGAATTAGTTCATTTACTAGTTTGACGGAACTGTAGTACTACCGGCCGTTTGATAAGGGTGTCTGTGTGGCAAAATAAGAGGTTCTGAGTTACAAGAGCCGTGCAAGCCCACCGAAGTCCTCCATTGGTTGGGCTGCGCACCACCACTGGATTTCTAAAATGGGCCTTGGTTAGGCGTATACGTGGAGATGGGCTTGTGTGTGGGAATATGTTTATACTCGGGTGGGCTTACCCACGGGATTCTGGCGTCTACTTGGAACGGGCATGCCGCTGGGGTAGTACATGCATAGAGGATGCTTCTTAGTGTCCGCATGGGATGTTGGGTGTTCTCACAATGTACAGTACGAGGTTAATGGTACCAATGAGGCTAATGAGACATGTCATGATGATTGTACAGAGGATACTTTATGCAGCCTGCAGTACTAGTACCTTGATCTGAGCCTCGGGAAGTCCAGCACAGTACGTAGCGTACTGCACAAAGTCATCGACCTGCACAGAACACCAAAAACAGGGCCACAAACCACAAAGAAAAATGAGCTGCAAAGGTTCAAAGTTCAAGGTTCAAAGTTCAAGGTTCAAGGTTCAAGGTTCAAGGTTCATGTGAGAGAAAATCCAGGCTTGCTATCTTGATGTCAGAAGGTTTCGCCCGGCAATTAAAGGGGAAGTATACCCTAAAATCAAATTTTCACCAGTTGTAGTCTTCTGGGTGCTGAGTCGAATGGTCTTGGTCCGAGGAAGCTGCGACGCTCCCTTCCTACTTGAATCCCAATCGAACTCGCGCACTTCCACCAAAACTGGGTGACTGCGCCCTACTAGATGGGGATTTGTATGCAAAATGTCACTAAAAGCGCCATTTCGTTCTTATAAAAGCACGGATCACCGCGATTGGCCCATATGTTGTAGTCTTTTGGACGCTGAGTCGACTGGTTTTGGTCCGAAAAGGCTGCGATGCAGCGTTCCTCCTTTATTCCCAATCGAACATGGTTGAACAAGCGGTCACGTGCTCCTGCGTACACCAGTCAGCTGGTCACCGTGCCTGCAGGGTACAACTTACTAGCCTGTTTGACCTTTTTTGGGTACAGTCCTGTCACTCGAGTTGAACCCGAGTTGAACCTTGGTGTGAAAGTTGTCGCCTGCTGGCGCGGTGACCAGGTGATTTGGGCACCCAGGAGCACGTGACCGCTTGTTCAACCATGTTCGATTGGGAATAAAGGAGGAACGCTGCATCGCAGCCTTTTCGGACCAAAACCAGTCGACTCAGCGTCCAAAAGACTACAACATATGGGCCAATCGCGGTGATCCGTGCTTTTATAAGAACGAAATGGCGCTTTTAGTGACATTTTGCATACAAATCCCCATCTCGTAGGGCGCAGTCACCCAGTTTCGGTGGAAGTGCGCGAGTTCGATTGGGATTCAAGTAGGAAGGGAGCGTCGCAGCTTCCTCGGACCAAGACCATTCGACTCAGCACCCAGAAGACTACAACTGGTGAAAATTTGATTTTAGGGTATACTTCCCCTTTAAGGGCCCAAACTGGTCAGGATTCCACCTGTACTTCGATGCAAATGGCCCTCCAGTTATCAACTCTATTTCAGCTCAGTGCATTGTGTTGCCCTGTATATTCACTTCACGCAGTGAGCACAAACATGTCTTCTCAAAAGAGCAAAGCCCGATCCCTACGAGCACTACGTACCGACTCATTGAAGCAGCGGCTGAATTGCTTGGAAGATGACTTCAGCTGCTTCTGAAGAGAGTCGTAGAACTTCTGGTGTATAGAAACTAGATCCTGTGAGGAGATGAGCAAGTAGACACATTGACAAGGACAAAAATGAAGAGTAAGTTCTGACAGAAAGGAGGAGAGGGGGATTGACCAGACATACCACACTGCAGGTGCACGCATGGGGAATTACTCCATATCACTAATAACAACCTACGAAACTTCATTTTCTCTACACCCCAACAATGCCAAATGCAGACAATCATCATGTGGAGCTTTACTGAAGCTTCATGGTGACTGATTCCCCATACCCTTTCACACCATGAAAAATACTAGTAGTACATCAGGTCTTAGGCTAATGAATGCTTGGTCGAGGTTACAGAGGCTTGCATGCCTCCTCTTCAGGGGCACAAGCATGGAATCTATGTGTACTGTGCAGGTCATTTTCAAGCCAGGGTCAACCACTGCTTACCGGTATATTGATGAAGATAATCCTCAAAGTCTCTATGTCAAGTCGATCAATAAGATAATCTCGATAGTGCTGGACACAGCAAAAAGGAGGTAAACAAGAAAATGGCAAAACGCAATCATGCCAGGGCCTTCCGGCATCAACAATGGCCCAAATGAAATGAACCACAGATTTGTGTGCGTGAAGTGCTGACCTGCATCGGATGGAATCTCACTTTACCGGCGCACTGTCCCAGAAAATAAGAACAACCATGGCTTTAACTAGTTCCCAGTTGAACTCCCCAGGTATGATTATGATAGAGATCACTGATAGAACACTTCGGAGTTAACATCACTAGCCCAGCTGGGTAGACACCTACAAAACTTGACAATGAGAGAAGCATGCTCGCGCTGCATAGAAACATTGGTCAATGAAAAACTGCGCTAGAAAGTGAATTGGGACACTTGGTTTGGAAGCAAATTTTGGTTAGGCTGCGAAACAACAAGTGTACTTCTCGCCTACTAGACATAGCGTCCATGGAAACCGCTTTAGTTTGATTAGTGAGATCTGGAACCTAACAAACATTCGTGTTGTGCAGCAGACCTAAGAAAAATGGTCTTCATACATTGTTGCAACACAAGATGGCTAAACTCATTGCTCCATACAAGCACCAGCAGTTTACCATGCATATCTGCAAAGCAACTTATCGAACCAAACTACAAAGCCACACAATCCATAATAGTCGTGAACATACACGTGCACACATACATACATACATACATACACACACACACACACACTTCATGTAGCTAGCAATGTCCATTATTCTTACCTTAGTGAGAAGGCTTAGGGCCTCTAAATAATTCTTCTCCGTCTCGACTACCTCAGCCACCACGTAGCCAAGCTTCTCGGGCAGTCCTCCAAAACCAGAGCCTTCCTGCGTCTTGCCTTTGCCGGCATACGAGACAAGAGACCCATAAATATCCTCCTCGTCCTCGGTCTGCTGGATGCTATCGTAGATCGACTCTTCTTCCTGCAGCTCCGGTGCACCGGTCGGTGGTAGTGGGGGTCGGTGTGCTGCGTAGGCATTTGCATTACGGTGTGTCCTGCGGGACACAGAGAATTAGAGCACACGGATCCGTACTCAATAGTCTGAAGAAAAATTGACTGTCACCACCAGAACTCGAACCAGGGACCCTTGCTTATGGCCAGCGATGCTCTACCACTAAGCTATGGTGCAGGCGCCATGCAATCAGTACCGTTTAAATATAGAATAAATTTCGTGAGACTTTCGTGAGACTCAGTCAGACTGAGGCTTCCACATTCGGAGGAACGCCACCACCACCAAGGATCAAGGTGCAGATTCAGCTACTAAATCGGAGGGAGGCGAGTGGATCAGACCCACCGCCACGCGGTCAGAGACCGAAAGCCAGCTACCATGGCGATGACCAGTACATATATAGAGAGCGAGGGAAGGGGGGGGGGGGGGATCCACTTACCTACATGTACTCAAAACTGGAGGAATGCAAATTCAATTCAACGTCATGGGTACTTGATGTGCACCAGCATTCAGTACTGCGACACAGCTGTGTGTCATTGCAGTCATTACAGTATTGGCGTCGGGTACAATGCCCAGCGCAATGCAGTCTGTGTGTGTGTGTGTGCGTGCGTGCGTGTGTGTGAATGCACACACCCACACGTGCATGTGCCATTGTAGCATGAAAAAACGAGGCCACTTCTGTGATGTATTTCACTGACCACTGCTGAGGTAATGACAAGTTATGTACATAAGGAGCACAGTGCTGATCAATGAAGTCCGATTGAGCGAGTGAAGTCAGTGCCCTGCACCAGTTCACAGCCCAACCCCGACCCTCTATTTCATGTACTCGAGAGGCTGGATTTCACTGAACACGACCGTATTATGCATTAGCACTGCCAGCACCTTAGGTCGTCACTACAAAATAGTGCATCAGCAGTTCAGCATAAGAATACATTGTCCCAAAGAAATCTGCTATCGTGGATACTAGTACCTTGCTTGAGACACTGTTTGGTGGCAATGCCACAGTGACACAGAGATTGCCTTCTAGCCCCTGCATACATGTCTCCTAATATCTACGGCCTGCATTCGGTGAGCCTAGCTTTTTCGAGAAAAGCTGAACAGAACAAGACTCCTACAAGTGAAGAACAGAAACGATACCTGCCAAGCTAAGTTACCCAACGGTGGTGGCTAATGCAGTTTTGGTGTCCTGCTAGATCACTCACATCATGTTCTCCAAGTTGCCATAAATGTCCTCTTCCGTATAACTGCCGTCGGCTGGTGCAGATGGGAATGGCCTAAACCACACGATGTGTATGCATATGTAGTTGTGTACATATGCACGCGCACACACGCGCACGCACATACACACACATGCGTACAAATACATACACACATGTACATGCATGCACACACACATACACACACACACACACACACACATACACGCACACACAAGTACATGCATGTACACACACATATGTATACACGAGTCAGTGCAGCCCATGCGAGCATACATACCGTGGAACGTGTGCCTTGGAACGGCCTACCATGGACACCTCTATGAGAAGAGCACCTGATCATAAAGGATTACAGTCCTTGGTCTCAACAGCATTCCTGCTACAAGTTATGTGCAGCCTGCACCTAATTCAACACCATAATTCATACTTCTCGCATGTCTTGATACAACCCTTGTATAGGTTCGCTGAATCACACAAACATCACATACGCTTCCCGCAAAACGCACGCAGCAGTTCCTTATCGGACAAATGCTGCTTATGGCGTGCGCGGCCAGTGGCAACATATAAAATTCTCCAGAAAGGAACAAGCACATTCTCTCGTGGTGTTAAGTGCAAACACAGGAACAGAATGCAACGTCACACGGAGAGAGGACAATAATATTTATTTGTTTCAAATGCGAGTTTTCAGTGTTCGACTGAGTGGATTTGCAACTAAACTTCCTCACCCGGCTGTGTGGATAAGCTCTGGCATTGGGCACACAGACTCTTCAGTCAGCAGAGCAATCTACGTATCTACGTGCTTCGAAGTACTATATCCAAGAAAGTAGGAACAGTAGTAGGAATAGCGCTCAAAGCACTTTCTAATGGGTGTAGAGCGTTTACATACATGGAAGACAACACCACTCGGGAAAGGGTTGGTGGTACTGCATGGTTCTGTGAGTGTTACGCATGCACATGCAGACTACTGACACTAGCATCAGGAATGCACCCCGCGTTACTCCGCACGCTATAATTATGACTTTGTTGAAAAGCATGACGCTATTACTTACGTGAAGCCGCAGGATATGGCCTGGCGTGAATGTGACAAGTCTGAAAGACATCGCACAACCTACGCACAAAATAAGTAGAATGACAAAGAGCATAGATTAGTTTCGGGCCAACTTTAGCTGTCACTAGTGTTCAACGTTTAGAGCATCACATAGCTCAGTGTGTGTGTGCACGTTTGTGTGTGTGTGCGCACGTTTGTGTGTGTGTGCGCGCGCGCACGTGCGTTTGTGCATGTGTGCAGGCCCGAAGCCAGTTCCTGAAAGGTGGTATGGCCCGGTCGGCCACAGGGCCGATCATTGCCCTATGCCATCATGGTAGAATGAACCTCTAGCTCTATGCCACATGGCATCTGGTTATATCAGCTACATATTCTGCTAGCAACCGATATATACAACAGCATCGTAATCCTCACCAGAAGGGAAGAACATTCTAGGAGAGACAGACTCTAGCTTATGGTGTACGAGTACAGCTATTACCACTTCCGCATAAATAATTTCATGCCGGACATTCCGGGAATACTGGAATTTGTAAAACTGGTATAGTCATGGCCATACCAGTTTTACCAGTGGCGCCGGCCCTGGTGTGTGTTTTCGTGTAAGTGTATGCATGTGCGTGTTGGTGTGTGCACGTGTGTGCGGGCGAGCGCACGTGTGTGTGTGTATGTGCATGTGTGAGTGTCCATGCCCGTGCGTGTGTGTGTGCTCATCTATCAGCTGTAAAGCTGCGGTCCTTGGTGAGGTTGCATGTGCTGTGACTTTGGTCATTAAAAAGACAAGCGTTCTCGCTGTGATTAGGGGTGGTGTAACAAATACCAGATACAAACTACAAGGTCTGTCCCAAATCACCATAAATAATGGTCCACAATAAATATGGAAATGCTCCATCGAGTACACACGTGTAGAGAAGTCAACGGAGCAAACGATCTTGGAGAGGGTCCTCGCGATGCGAGAAGCATTACCAATTTTACCCACACTGCAGTACGTCGAGGAAGCCCATGTATTTTTCACTTTGCTGTGGACATTCGCTAACTAGTTATATTTACTACTTAGGTGGCGGCTCATGTACAAGACCAGCAGTTTGATTCGTCTAGCGGTGCGACAACTGAAATTCGCAACGATGCATGCTGGAAGATCCGAATGCCACACAGTCACGCACCCATACGCACCGTCACCAAAATCCTCACTTGGAAAGTGTGATCGGTACGGATTTCACTTGCCAAAAAAAGTAGTCCCAGTCGTCCTGTGCTAGCTAGAATGTTTTCGTTGCTAGCAACACAACTTGCCAAAGGTCAAATGGCCAAATGTTGAAGTCCTCATTGTCCCCAACACACCGTGCAATAGACAGTACAGCAGAGCACCTTTGCTGCTGCTGCACATAGTTTTCCGTACGCAAGGAAATTAGTACATGGTGGTACTATCATCGCGGTAGAATTATAGATACGCACACGAAAATACAGGTGTAACGCGGACGTGCAAGTTTTACTTCTTTCTTCTATTAATTTCTATCTTTTACACACAAACGTACCAAACTATATCCGTGGCGAGGTCCACGTGTATGGCAATGTCTTCACCAAATGGTTTTGTGTGACGAATGGTGGTGCTTGTGTACATAATTATAGTAACGTGCAGCAACATTCCCTCTTCCCCACACACCCTGCACAACAACGAGATCTGCAGACTGCACAGGAGGGTGCAGTGCCAGCAGGCTGCATGCCTACATTCTTTGAGCATGTACGTGCTCAACATGAACAAAGTACAATAGGTGTTTGTGTTGCGTTACGGCATGTACCGTGATGTACCTCTAACAATACATTATAGCAGTGGTGACTGACTGTGAATCAGTACTTGCCATGAATGTCAATGACTCCGAATATCATGCAGTGCAGTGTTCACTGTTCACAGTTCAGTACTACATTGTAGTACTGACAGTACAGCAAACTAGTTCCAGGGGTTGAAACATTTCTCGAGAAAACACCTGAAGTCAGGAAAGAGCAGGGGCTTATCCCTTAGCCCCAGTGAGTAACAGGGCAGACCTAACTATGATAACTAGTGACATTCTGCAGCACTACTCCACTAGTAACAACAACACGCTGTGAATACGCCTGTCTGTCTGCAGTAACACCATCACTTCAACACAGGGAACGCCTTGGCTTTCGTGTGAGTACAGTCATGTGTGCAGGCGTTTGGTCTCCTTCACATGAAACTGTCGCTGGTACATGGTGGAAGCGCTGTCATGCGTTGTGCACAACTCAGGGTTATCCATTGGATGGTCGACGGAACGAGATGTGACGATCCGTCACATAGGAAGAACCCCGATCACAACGACTTCCGCCAGCGACCGTCCAAAGCATTCTGGCAATTCATAATCACCAACTAAAGCGACCGAAACATAGCATGCAAGCCGCTAACAATTGCCACTTTACGCAACAAATCTTTGATCAATTTCGACAAAAAACCAGAGATATCGGACACGCAGTGAGAAAGGAAATTGGGAGCGCGCGGACCCACTTACCCTGCCAAAATCAGACATATCAGTGAGGTCGCCATAGTCGAACACGTTATCAACACCGACATTGAAGTCACGATGTAGACTGACAAGGAACGCGTTGATGTTCTGCACGCACTTGAACTGCACAGACGACGCACAAATCACGCGCACGCAAACACATCACAGAACGGTGAGTGGCACACGATGCACATGCACAAACAGAACACAAACGCAAGCTAGCACTAGCAGACGCGAGTGCTACTTACACCGCCTGCACTACCCACACCGACGACGAACATCTTGACATTGCTGCTGTTACTACTTCTCCCTTCGTAAATCCACATTACAATGCGTACGTGCTCGGAGCAGAAGACGGTCGTCAAATAAACGGAAGCTGGTCGCATCGTTCCCCAACCTTCATCCATTTACAGTGTCGGATATACAAGAACGCGTTTTGTGTCTGAGTGCGAGTATGTGTGCGTGAGTGAGAGCATCTAGCCCTTACCTGCAGCTTAGCCTTCGGATGGAAGTGCGGAACAGAGTTAGGCTGCAATTTGTTCAGTAGCATGCACAAGAAGACTCCATCGGTCAGGCAATGGGCAAACTCCATCAGTGTCGCTGTGGGTTTGGTCACAGGATGACGTCCGTCGATTACTCCAGCGTCGATGAGCCATTGTCGAGCCTCCTGCCATTCCGTGCCTGTTGCAACGGCCATGCTCACGACAGCCTTTCACCAACGACGCCCCAACTCTCTTCCCAGAGACGACGCCAAAATCTCTCTCTCCCCGAATTTACTACTCCACGAAAAATAACTCGTGCAGCGCCAAGAACTCGGCGAGGCATCCGTCCCTCAACCGCTGCCCTACGCGCTGTGCATTCTCAGGTTCAAGTCTACCATGGTCTACATCATGCACAGCTACTTAGTACTTTCTCATCATGGGAGGCTGGGACACAGTGCGAGTAGCGTGCGTCCAGACACCAGTGCACGGCAGCGTGCACTTCCAGTGTTGAGTCTTTTTTTTGTCTTATCTAGCTGTGATCATGTTGGTCATGAGTATGTAAGTGTAGTTGGAGTCTGCATCTGTGAGTGTGAGACTGTTCGTCCAGTCGAGAGTGTGCTTGCTTGCCACTACATGTACTACTAGTACAGTACTAGTACTACTGACCACGGCATTGCTGTTGCTCTGTACTACTAGGCATGCAGTGCATGCCACAGATTATTGATAAGATTGCAGCCAACCATGGGCGCGGCGTGGCCTGCGCTGTGCGGGGAGTACGACTACGAGTGTGCACGAAAGCGCGACCACGCTAGCACACCGCGCCGCGGTGCTGGTAGTCCCTGGTAGTCCATGCGGCATGCATCATGAATATCATGACATTAGTTTTTATCCATTACTAGGCGCCATTAGTGGCCGGCAGACCTACTGACACCATGGACACTGTATACTGTAATTGCATGTTAGATCTACACAGCATGCATGGTCAGTACACAATGATGTATAAACAAAAGTCATGCAGCTCTTTCTCTATCACAGTATTCACTTATCAGTCTACGAGTATGACCCTGTCTCTCCGTTGGTCTGTCTCCGAGGCTCCCCCCCCCCCCCCTCTGTATGTGACAGTATGTCTCTATCCCTTTGTATGTCTCTCTCCAGTCCTCTCTTCAGTCCACTCTCTCCAGTCCTCTCTCTCCA